AAAACGTTGCTAAATTCGATTGAAAAGGTATCAAATCGAAAAAAAAAACGGATTTATTAGGTATGCTTCACTAGAACTAATTTTGCAATTGTGCTGATTAAATATTGTTCTTAAATAGTTCTTTCAGATATTATCAACCCGGTAATTAACTTCTTGATGAATGACGAAATGACGAATTGACGAATTTCAAAATTCAAAGATAATCCCTTTACATTATCTATTAATCCTTTACAGGCATGGACTTGGGGAATAGTTCTGAGGTGCCAATCATAAGGTGTTTGTTGCAACATCGGCGATAAGACGGGAATGTTAACAAATGGGGGAGGTGGACCTCCAGCCTCCACTAACAAAACTTTTTCTCCTGCATCTATCAATTTAGCTGCGATTATGGATCCTGCAGTTCCCGCTCCAACTGAAACAGATTTTATCTATAAATATAAATCTACAAAGCGCATTGCATACTTTCATTCGTTTTTTAATTCTGAGCCATTTACAAGAGACATGAAACAAACCCAATCATTTTCATAATTATTGCTTCCTTCACCGTCTCATTAATCAAAACAAAAATCGCTGGATGAATATTATTTAACGTTTATTCGCTATTTAACTTTTCATATTAAGTTATTTTTTCTCAATTTCAAGGAATTTTTAATAAAAAACCACTTATCAAGTGTCGACGATGAAAAATTAACACTAAAATTGATTACTATACCTATTATAAAGTTATAAACTTTCTCTTGATGTATTTTGTTGAGAACTGAGTCAACGTAATCATTCAGATAGTAGGAAATCTCCAAAAATTGTGAGCATAAAAAAACGAGGATTGGAAATATTATGAAAGCGATGCTTTTGGCAAGGGCAACCATAGTCGATGGTTCATCCTAATCTTCCATTCCTTCATTAATTCCTTTTACTATATATAGTAGTTGGAGCTATTATTCGCTCGTCCTGTGGTAGGTTACAACATTTTCGGTTTTCATTTATTTGAAGCATTAACTACCCCTCAGAGCTTTTTACTCAAATCAAGTGTCTAATAAATCTCATAATAATAATAACTATATTATCTAATTATCTGAGAATAATATGGGTTAAAACTTATTTTGAATATATCAAAAACGGAGCAGGGACTGATGAGATCTTCCTTCTGGATTTTCTGTTTTTTTTTTCTATTCGCTTGGTAATATTCCAATTTATGATGTCCTCTTGTAAATAAATTCACGGAGGATTGACTAAAGCGTTAGAGATCAGTAAGTTCTTGGGACTTGAATGACTCTAGGTTAGGATCAGTATTACTCCGTGGAAGAAATGGTGCGACAAGTGATCACCTACTGCGTTTTTTTATTTACTACTAGCGTATATGGTGCGCTCTGCGCGCTAAAATTCATATGTATGTGATGTTATCATTTGACATATAAAATCTAAATATTAAAAGAATCTTGACTATTTAAAAAAATTATCCATAATTTATGTTTTTTTCTTTAATTAAATTCAATTGATAAATACAATATTTTTTTTTCTTGTAGACAAATCATTTATAATTATTGGTTGATTCTGTTCTAAGCAATTGAAATATATGAATATGAAGACCTTGTAGTTCAATTTTTAGTCCCCACGACTATTCTATAACCCTATAACCCTATTTTATAATAGACAGCACGACATTTTCCACATAAAATCACTACCAGGCTAGTCAATCACTCGGTGGACAGCTGAGTTAAACCTGCAGGAACAGCTCAAAATTTCCATCACAATCAGAGAATCGTAGCTAAGGAGCTGCGATCACTACGTTTCATCCGAACTCTCGTTCAGCAAGTAGACAAGGGGTATTGCAACATCTGAGTGAAATTTCTTTGTAATGAACTTCCTCTATA